AAAGTGTCCTAAAACATCAACATTTGTGACATAGCTCCTTTAAAAATGATTGGCTGGAGTTCCCCTTCAACAATTTTGAAAACACCCTCCAAGTCTATTCAATCTCTAAGAGGTACCAGTGATTGGTACCTCTTAAAAAGTTATTTTTTAGCGCCCAGGAAAGTGTGATACCAATCCAGAATTTTATCCCCCCTTAAGGTACAACGATTGTTGCTGCTGGGTTGAATTTAATTTGAAATAATTGTTATTTTTTGTTAAGCCTGTCGCCTTTCAATGATTCAAATCATTATTTCTTTTGCCAGTGACGGAAAAGTCAGTTCTTCAACAACCACTTTCTCATATGTCAAGAAAATCAAAGAAATGAAAGAATTGCTCAGTAAAGGCGAAGCACTGGAACCAGAGACTGTGGTAGATACGTTCGGTAATGGAATAAAAGCACAGGAAGCCGTTCCCGCTGCAATATTTGCATTCCTTCACAAAGGCAAAGTATCATTCGAGGAGTCCATAAACTATGCTATATCCTTAGGGGGCGATACAGACACAATCGCCAGCATGACAGGAGCGATCAGTGGGGCATACTGGGGATTGGAGACGATTCCTTCATTGTGGCAGGATAAATGCGAGGCTGTAGATGAAGGTATTGTGTACGCAGACAAAATCTACGAACTACCACAAGAAAGAAATGAAACAGATACTAAGGAAATGTGATTAGGAAGGAATGCTTTTTCAACGCTGTGCTATACTACCCTTCAGTATAGCACTGGCCCTGATAAAGAATAGCCGTACTAGTACTAGTTGTACCAGTTTATTTAGCTAGATCCAGCTATCCACTTCAGTCAGCAAGGATTGCTTGATTAGATTAGTACCATTGATGGTGAATGCGCAATATGCGTACCTTCGGAGGAAAACCTCGTTTTGCTGCCGATTGGCCACGGAAGTCACATCGCCTGATCCTTGAGTTATGACCGGGGGTAGTCACAAACATAAGCTATTTCAGAAGCAAATAAGCTATATACGTCAGTGTGCTGCACCAAATGGAGCGGTTTTTAGCCCTTTTGGTTTAAGGAGTAAGGAATTAAAAGTATCAAGAAACGAAACGGTTGCCTCTGCTGGCTGTTCTTGCTATGTTTTTAGGCAGTAGTTCGGCTATTTCTTTTTTGTAAAACGTGTGAAATTTTCCGCCATTTTCTCTGTCACTACCAATTCAGCTGTATGAAAGCAACTTTTTCTCCAGGGCTTTTCGGTTGCCTTGTCTATTTCTTTTGTTACCCTGCACCTTTGATGTCATTATAGAGAGCTTAAGCAACAACTACGGCGAAGGCTACGAAAACGTCAGTTAAAAAGTGAATTCGCGCTGCCTCATAAATATCGGATATCGCAAACTTCTCCCAGATTTGGTGAACGCTAGCTGGTTATGAATGAATAGTCTGGGGAATTGAGCTAATCAGAAACGGAAAATATTTTGAATGAATAATTATTGCTCTTTCTAGTTAGATGAATGCATCTGCTGTTGAGAGCAGCCGAGTCTTTCTTTACGGAGATATCTTCGTGATATCTTCGTGTTTCAGAGTTTCTTGACTTTGTTTTTAACGTGACTAAGAGAACTTGTCTACTTTAGTTAAGCGTTTGCGTGTGCCCGATAGGCATGTGACGGGGATGATCGAATGATTTTTTGGGGTTTTTTAGAAAATAAGGGACTATCAGGTCATTTGTACCTCTCTTTAGGGAGTTCACCTTAGCCGTGATAAAGACGTGAGGCTGCCGAATTTCTCTCTCTGATGGTTGGTTGGAAATGTTGGACTGCGGCCAGCAAACTGAAACGTCCAGGGAGGGGAGGAGAATAACGGAAGACTTGAAAAATGGAGGGCCACTTGAAATGCTTATATTAGCAAATCTGATAAAAATTTAGGTACTATTGCATCAGTTTTAATTTCGAATTTAAAGTTTAGTGTGAATTCATGTGCCTTTTAAGCAGTAAATTTGGCATCAAAAATATACAAATAACTGGAAATACGTGTATCGCAGAACCTAACAAGAAAGAAATGAAACAGATACTAAGGAAATGTGATTAGGAAGGAATGCTTTTTCAACGCTGTGCTATACTACCCTTCAGTATAGCACTGGCCCTGATAAAGAGTAACCGTACTAGTACTAGTTGTACCAGTTTATTTAGCTAGATCCAGCTATCCACTTCAATCAGCAAGGATTGCTTGATTAGATTAGTACCATTGATGGTGAATGCGCAATATGCGTACCTTCTGAGGAAAACCTCGTTTTGCTGCCGATTGACCGGGGGTAGTCCCAAACATAAGCTATTTCAGAAGCAAATAAGCTATATAAGTCAGTGTGCTGCACCAAATGGAGCGGTTTTTAGCCCTTTTGGTTTAAGGAGTAAGGAATTAAAAGTATCAAGAAACGAAACAGTTGCCTCTGCTGACTGTTCTTGCTATGTTTTTTAGGCCGTAGTTCGGCTATTTCCTTTTTGTAAAACGTGTAAAATTTTCCGCCATTTTCTTTGTCACTACCAATACAGCTGTATGAACGGAACTTTTTCTGCAGGGCTTCTCGGTTGCCTTGTCTATTTCTTTTGTTACCCTGCACCCTTGATGTCATTATAGAGAGCTTAAGCAACAACTACGGCGACGGCTACGAAAACGTCAGTTAAGAACTGAATTCGCGCTGCCTCATAAATATCGGATATCGCAAACTTCTCCCAGATTTGGTGAACGCTAGCTGGTTATGAATGAATAGTCTGGGAAATTGAGCTAATCAGAAACGGAAAATATTTTGAATGAATAATTATTGCTCTTTCTAGTCAGATGAATGCATCTGCTGTTGAGAGCAGCCGAGTCTTTCTTTACGGAGATATCTTCGTGATATCTTCGTGTTTCAGAGTTTCTTGACTTTGTTTTTAAGAGAACTTGGCTACTTTAGTTAAGCGTTTGCGAGTGCCCGATAGGCATGTGACGGGGATGATCGAATAATTTTTTGGGGTTTTTTAGAAAATAAGGGACTATCAGGTCATTTGTGCGGTCAGTAAAACCCAAGGCAAATGTAAGTTTTCAGTTAAATTTTAGGCTATTTACCAGTTGTCATTTTTCCCCATCCATGCCCTCTTGACACGGACAGAACAGCCGGGGCAGGAACCCATAGACTCCTGCTCTGATCCACTGCATTTGTCAGACCATAGCCCTATTACTACTTGGCTGAATATTAACAAAAGGACGAGTTACAATCACACATACTTGAAGGAGATACTTTAACGCGTTTACCGAAATAGTTTCCGTGGGAAAACGACTCCGCTCAAAAATTCAAGGATGCTCTGAGGTCTCCTCGTATACAAACACTAATACGCGATAATATTGCTGGCGACACATTCAATGAAAATACTGAGCTATCCCTCGAAAAGGTTGAAAACATTTTAATCACAACGGCTAAGTGTTGTTTAAAGATACGAGAAGGTAAAACGCGTAAGCGTATCAAATCATTATCAAACAAAAAATGGTTCGATAAAGAATGTCGTTTGAAAAGGCATGAATTACGAAAACTAGCAAACAAGAAACATCAAGACCCTTTGAATACTATCATACGTGAGCAATACCATGATACTCTGGCCCAGTACAAGAAATTACTTAATTCTAAAAAGAATGATTATTACAATGCCAAGATTTCTGAGCTAGAAAAAACTGCAGACAATTCAGACGCGAAAACTCTCTGACAATGCCTCAAATCGATGGACGACACTAGAAAAAGAGAGGATGTTCCATCAATCTCGAAAGAAAATTGGCTACAATATTTCCACAATCTTCATTCAAATGAACCTCTTAACCCAACGCAGCAAAACATTTGCAATGAGCTACGACAAAATGAATGCTATGGTCAACACTC